TTTCAGAAATTAGAGATTACTCTTCGACCATTAGTTTGAACCAAAAATCCAAATTTGAAGAAAATTGCCGATCTGAAGGTATACTGTAACCTTAATCATCCATATCACCCCCCGCGCCGTGTGTTTCATCACGTGACGTCTGGATGTGTAGCTGCCGTCCTTGGCAGCAGCGCCTTGCCTTGTCAGCGCGGTCGGCGCCGTCGATGGAAGGCGCTAAGGAGCTGTTATTGTCAAAGTACTTCAGCTCTTTTGGCTACGTTGTTGCCTTGTTTCACTTTCCACCTTTAGTAATATTAAGTGCATATACAGGAAATCTGAGAACCAGCGAACGTCGAACATTTAGCTGTCCTTCCTCTCCAGATTCTCGAGACGAGTGTTTGGTGAAATACGACGAACATTACAACTCTCCTTTTCCACTGTACGGATTTGTTCTTTTGTGTTTTCTTCCGCCTATGGCTGTGTGCATCGCTTACTCATGGTGCTTTGTGAAATCACGTGTTGATGAGATAGAAATCGCTTTGAAACCAGATACAGAAAACCCTCGGCGCCGTCCAAGACTGACAACTCGCCGAGTGTTTTATTCCTACTTTCTTCATCTGTTTGTGCGACTCGTCTTAGGGATTTTGTTTGTAGTGTTACAGAACTTCGTGTTTTATCCAGATGGCTTTCCCACGGAATTTGCCTGCGTTTCTGCTACCGTAAAGCCCACAGTTATCTTAAATTCCACGGATTTCAATGTGACAAAAGATGATGGCTTAGCTATTGACTGTGACAATTCTGTTGGATCTGACAACGCTACCTGTGCGATGGGAATTTGCGCAGTTAACATTCTGTTCGCTATTCTGGTGTTTGTAGAGTTGTGTTATCTTTCGGTGCGAGCACTACAAAGTGAAGAATTCACATTCGACTCCAAATTTTGTCAAAAGTACCTTTTCAACCAGAGCGGAACTGCAGTCACTCTGCGTGAGACGATATTGCGCATGAAGAGACAAGTGCGTGAAGAGACAGAATTTTTGGAACCTTTGATTCCTCATCCCGAAAACGAAAACAAAAGTCTGTTGGATGACATTTTCGTCGATCTTGTTATTTACACGGGAAGAGCGATACACGAATTTACTGACTTGTCGAAAAGACACGAAATATTTGAGATCTATTTGAAGCCCCAACGTGGATCCATTCCTATAGGGAAACTTGGCGAGTTATTTCATCCTAACGAAGATACCAAATGGCAAGATCCTCGCAAAATTCTGATAATCGGTCGCCCAGGCATCGGAAAATCGTTGCTATGTAAAAAATTGTCGCGTGACTGGAGCAAGGGTGACCTCTTGCGTGACGGTAACCAAAGCTTCAAACATTTGTTCATGTGCCAATTTAGATGGTTCAATTCTGAGACATCCACGAATATTTCTCTCAAACATCTATTGAGTCGTGTAGTTTCAGAAGGGAGTATTGACAATGACGTTTTGCAGGACTTGTTGGATCACCCTGAGAAAGTTCTACTTATCTTTGATGGCCTAGATGAATTTAAGCACCATGAGAACTGTTTGGATGACGAGAGAGCACAAGGTGGAAATAGTCCAACAGAGGAGATGCCATTCTCTGCCCTGTATATGAAACTAATGAAAGGAAAACAGCTTCCTGGAGCCACAGTTCTGACAACTTGTAGGCCAAATGTGGTACAGAGTCTTGCAGGGCTGCAATTTGACCGAAGAGTGGAGATAATGGGATTTACACCAGAGAAGGTTCAGGAATATGTATACAATTTTTTTGCTCGTGACATTAAGACAAGGAATAGAGTATGGGGGCATATCAGTAGCAATACAGAGTTGTTGTCCTTGTGTTACATTCCTGTGAACAGTTTCATTGTCTGTTCCATTTTGAAAGAGTTGATCAAACTGCAAGACACTGATTCGGGAAGTGCATTGCCCACAACTTCAACAGAGATTTACAATGGAGCATTGAGGTTATTTATTTTCAAGTGCCACCCAGAATTCAAGGGCAAACAGCTAACAGAGGATTATCTTGCAGGAAATGTTGGCTTCTCAGATTCTGTTGAAAAAACATTAAGTCAAGTAGAATCACTGGCAAAAACAGGGATAGAAGAAAGGCGACTGGTGTTTGATTCAACAGAAGTCAAGGGAATTGAAGGCTGTGGCTTGTTCAACCGCATGCCAAACCGTCAGATCACACCTTTTAAACTTGAGCCTCAGTTCTGTTTCATCCATTTGACACTGCAGGAGCTGCTTGCAGCCAGAAAAGTTGCAAAGATGAAGCCCAGTGATCTCAGTGATTTTATCACTTCAANTTGTCATTTATACTGGAAGGGCGGAACATGAGTTTGAAGACTTGTCAAAAAGACACGAAATATTTGACATCTATTTGAAGCCCCAGCGAGGAGCACTACCCATAAAGAATCTTGAAGAGTTATTTCTTCCCAACGAAGATACCCAAGATCCTCGGAAAATCCTCGTAGTTGGTCGTCCGGGAATCGGAAAGTCTATACTATGTTCGAAACTATCGCGTGACTGGAGCGAGTGGGGTCTATTTCGTGACAGCACTGACAACAAAAACTTTGAACACTTGTTCTTGTTTCAGTTTAGATGGTTCAATGAGACAACAGAGAAGATTTCTCTTAAACAACTACTGAATCGTCTATGTCCAGAAGAAGACATTGACAATGAGGTGTTCCAGTATATGTTAGACAACCCAGAGAGAGTTCTTCTTGTATTTGATGGTTTGGATGAATTTAAACACCGTGAAGACTGTTCGAAGGAGGAGCAGGCACAAGGTTGTAATAGTGCAACAGAGGCAATGCCATTCTCTGCACTGTATGTGAAATTGGTAAAAGGAAACCAGCTTCCTGGAGCCACAGTTCTGACAACTTGTAGACCCAATGTAGTGCAGAGTCTTGAAAGACTTAAGTTTGACAGGAGAGTTGAGATCATGGGATTTACACCAGAAAAAGTTGAAGAATATGTTCACAAATTTTGTACATACAACGCAGTGACAGTGAGAAGAATATGGGAACATATCAGCAGCAATTTAGAATTGTTGTCTTTGTGCTACATTCCAGTAAACAGTTTCATTGTTTGTTCCTTTTTGGAAAAGCTGATCACACTCGAAGACCANCGAAATATTTGACATCTATTTGAAGCCCCAGCGTGGAGCACTATCCATGAAGAATCTTGAAGAGTTATTTCTTCCCAACGAAGATACCCAAGATCCTCGAAAAATTCTTGTAGTTGGTCGTCCGGGAATCGGAAAGTCTATACTATGTACGAAACTATCGCGTGACTGGAGCGAGGGTGGTCTATTTCGTGACAGCACTGGCAACAAAAACTTTGAACATTTGTTCTTGTTTCGGTTCAGATGGTTCAATGAGACAACAGACAAGATATCTCTTAAACAACTCATGAGTCTTTTATGTCCAGAAGGAGGCATTGACAATGAGGTGTTCCAATACATGTTAGACAACCCAGAGAAAGTACTTCTTCTATTTGATGGTTTGGATGAATTTAAGCACCATGAAAACTGTTTGGAGGAGGAGCAGGCACAAGGTCGTAATGGTCCAACAGAGGCAATGCCATTCTCTACACTTTACATGAAATTAATGAAAGGAAACCAGCTTCCTGGAGCCACAGTTCTGACAACTTGTAGACCCAATGTAGTGCAGAGTCTTGCAAGACTTGAGTTTGACCGAAGGGTGGAGATCATGGGATTTACACCAGAAAAAGTTGAAGAATATGTTCACAAATTTTGTACATACAACACAGTGATAGTGAGAAGAATATGGGAACATATCAGCAGCAATTTAGAATTGTTGTCTTTGTGCTACATTCCAGTAAACAGTTTCATTGTCTGTTCCTTTTTGGAAAAGTTGATCACACTCGAAGACCAGGATTCAGGAAATACAGCTTTACCAACAACTTCAACAGAGGTTTATGAAGGAACACTGAGATTGTTCATCTTCAAGCATCACCCAGAATTTAAGGGTAAACTACTGACAAAGGAGTACCTGATGGGAAATGCAGCATTTTCAGATTCCATAGAAGAAACATTAACCCAAGTAGGATCATTGGCCAAAACAGGAATAGAAGAAAGGCGACTGGTGTTTGATTCAACAGAAGTGCATGGAATGGAAAACTGTGGCTTGCTTAACCGTATGCCAGACAGTGAAATTACCTGGTTACAATTTAGATCCCATTTCTGCTTCATTCACCTGACTTTCCAAGAGTTGCTTGCTGCCAGAGAAATCACAAAGATGAACCCCAATGACCTCAGTCATTTCATTGCCTTGAATGTTTCAGATCCAAAATGGCACATGGTTATTCAGTTTGTGGCAGGT